GGTGATCGTGAACTTAAACGGCTCGAATGGTTCGTAAATTATAATGCCAAGGGTGTCGAGTCAAAGAAATGTTTGCTTGGGAGGGATGAGAGAGCATTAGATGATCCCAAAAATAATTAGTTGGAACGTGATGGGGGTTGATGAAGCGGAAAAAAGGTTAGGTGTTCGAAACCTATTAAGGGGATGGAGGGCGGACCTTGTTTGCTTACAAAAAAATAAGTTGGGAGTTCATCTTGAGGGCAGTTGTTAGCAGTTTGTGGGGGGACAGCATGTCGGGTGTCAATATATTGGGTCATCGGGGGCTTCAGGAGGTGTGTTAGTCATGTTAGACACTAGAGTTCTTGATATGGAGGATCTCAGTGAAGGGCTATTCTCTTTATCGTTTTCGTTTAGAAATATTGGGGATGGATTCCATTGGATGTTTATAGGAGTTTACGGGCCTAATGCTGATGAGAGTAGAGGTGGATTGTGGGATGAGTTGGCTGGGATGATGGCTTGGTGGAACATTCCAACATGCATTGGGGGAGATTTTAATGTGGTTTGTTTTCCTATTGAGAGGTCTAGCAGTGGGAGATTAACAGTGGCAATGGAGGATTTCTCAGATTTTATTAGGGAAAATATGTTGGTAGACATGCCTTTGATTGGAGGAGACTTTCACTTGATCATCTAATCGGGATCAGCTTGTTTTATCTCGAATAGATGCTTTTTGATTAGTGGGGAGGGGGAGGCCAACTATCCAGAGGTCACTTAGAGGAGATTGGGGAGGGTGTATTTTGATCATTTCCCTATTTTGTTATCAAGGAATGTGAGGTGTAGTGGAAGAAGGCCTTGTAGATTTGAGAAGATGTGGCTAAAAGTAGAAGGCTTTGGGAAGCGAGTACGAGATTGGTAGGCATCTTATGAATTTAGGGGGTCTCCTAGTTATGTATTTGATTGAAAATTAAAAGCCTTGAAGAGGGATCTAAAGAGGTGAAATGAGGAAGTGGTGGGAGATGTTAATTGGCATAAAACTTAATGCATTCTAAAAATAGAACAGCTGGATAGGCAGGAGGAAAGTCGAAGGTTGGTTGGGGAGGAGAGGGAGAGTTGTGGATTGTTAAGGGGAGAGTTGGAGAGACTGGTGGAGATGGAGGAGATTGCTTGGTGCCAGAAATCTAAGATCACTTGGTTGAAAGAAGGGAACAAATGTACCAAAATTTTCCATAGAGTCGCTAATTCTAACAGGCGCAACAACTATATCACTTTGTTAGAGGTCGATGAGGATACTTATGAGGACTCGCAGGATATTGGGAATCAAATGGTGAGATTCTATCAAAAACTCTATCGGGAACAGTTTGACTGGAGGCCAAAGGGGGATGGACTGGACTTTTCTACTATCACGGAGGAGGATGCCAATTGGTAACCATTTGGGGAAATCGAAATCAAGGAGGTCGTTTTTAGCATAAATGATGATAAGGTACCAGCCGAAGAAATCGGGAGCAGTTAACATTAAGGATTTTCGCCCTATTAGCTTAGTTAGCGGGACATACAAGATTATTACGAAGATTCTGGCGAATAGATTGAAGGAGGTGCTGGGGAAAGTGGTGACTAAGTGTCAGAATGCTTTTGTAAAAGGAAGGTAGATTTTGGATTTTGCGCTTATAGCGAATGAATACGTTAACTCTAGATTACGCTTGGGAGTGCCAGGGATATTATGCAAGCTCGATGTTCAAAAGGCCTATGATCACGTGAATTGAGGGTTCCTTATGTACATGCTCAGGAGATGTGGCTTTGGGGAAAAGTAGTGTAAGTGGATTCAATTTTGCATCTCTACTGTTTCATTCTCAGTCTTGGTCAACGGCACCCCAAAGGATTATTTTCGAAGCAGCAGAGGTTTGAGGCAAGGGGATCCCTGGTCTCCATTGCTGTTTGTGATTGTTATGGAGGCATTCAGTAGGATGCTTGAGAAAGTTGTGGAAGAAGGTTTGATAAGGGGCTTTACGGTTGGACACTTACAAGTCTGTTGTTTGCTATTTACAGATGATACACTGATTCTATGCAATGCAGATAATGAGCAATTCAGGAACTTGCGTCGACTACTTCTATGCTTTGAAGCGGTGTCGGGATTGAAGATTAATTTAGGGAAATCTGAGGCTATTCCAGTGGAAGAGGTTGCTAACGTGGATGAGTTGGCCGATATATTGGGTTGCAGGGTTATGCAATTGCCCATATCATACCTTGGGCTTTTTTTAGGGGCAAGGTTTAAATGTAAAAATATTTGGAGTGGAATTGT